ACTAATTTTGTAAATTCACATAGATTAACTAAATTTTTTGCTTTTTAGTGATTAAGTGAAACTCACAAATTTATGGTTATCAACCCTTCTTACATGATAAGAACCAAATATTCTAACTCATCAAAGATAACAGAAAATTGAAAGAACATTGACCTAACAGATACCTAGCAGCTATAAGATATGAGCCTCCGAAGACACAACTGCAATACTCAATATGTTATTCTTAAAAGCACACCTTAAGCCAAGATCCAAGATTAAACCTTTGAATGCCTTCAAAACATCTATTTCATAAAACTAAACAAAATGGTCATCTTTAATTTTGTTTCCCCTTTTTGGCAATTAACAAAATGATTGTCATCTAATAACTAGAGAAGAATTACTAAGCAGCTCTCCAAGTAATGTCTTTCGCAACTAATCCAATATAATGATGTTAGACTACACCAATTCAAAGTTCAAACTAGCAATGTAGACAATTTATTGTCTACACAAACATATGCATTGACAGCACAAATAGTTGATTCACCAATTTCAGACTTTTCAAGAAAGACTAACCTTTACATAGACAAAATTTGCATTGACGCAGAGGGCAAGATTACTAGGGAGTGTCCATGGTGTCGTTGTCCATGCTCAAAAGCTGCACTATCTGCTCATCAACTATTGGGAAAGTCGCCATGATTTCAGGATCAGGTACTTCCTGTGTACTCCAGGAGTGTTATAAATATAAGGCTTCAAAAAAATTGAAACTAGACAAATAATAAAAATTATAACAATAATGATGATGAAGAAGCTGCTATAATAAGTATTATTATTATCATTACAACAGCTCCACAAAACAAAACCATAAAAATAAATAAATATATATATATATATATATATAAATAAGAGACAGAGACAGAGAGAGGGGCTACTTTCAAGTTTGTATGTAGATCTATTAGCTACAGAATGTAGAATATCATCATGAAAAACATGAAATTATCATTGAAACTGAAAAAATGCATTATAAAAAAAACATGGGAGAAGGATCTAATCATAAAAATTCCGTCGAGAACTTTGCAAGTAATCTACTCAGTAACAAGGCTGGTGGTAACTACACGGAGCAATGGCCTGCTCTGCTATCAAAAAACAATGTCAATCAGTGGCAATATATGAAGATTATTTGGCAATATATGAAGATTATTTACTACGATTATAATTACTATTAGTAGAAGTAAAATTACTAGTTGCATAACCCAGTAAGGAAAGATCCAGTTTAAACCTTATAGTTCGAATTGGCTTCAAAATTAGACAATGGAGTCTTGCAACCGGTGCTGTATGGCATAACCTGCAAAAAGCAACAGCACACGAACATTTAAGTCCAATTCATCCCAATATACAATCAATCAATAAATAAAACATATAATTCAAGTTTAACTTATCATCTAGTTTCTCAGAATATCCAGTACTCAGTTCAGAATGAACCACAATTAACAAATTGGAAACACCAAACCCATTCTAAATTGCCTTCATCGTTATATTTATCCTAAAACCAGAGAATGAAAAAGGGAAAGAGGAATATACATATATATATTTATGTATAAGTTCAAAGTGAAAAACAAACCTTGAAACCTCTATAGACGAGACCCTTTTCAAATAGCCGAGAAAAGACCCACCAAACACTCTCCATAAACTTCAAGTCCATAGTCTTGTAATCATTCTTGAAATCGATCCACCGACCGGTCCTCCATACAATCTTCTCCCACTCCTCCACGTACCGCGTCACAATACTCCGACACTCCTCGTTGTATTTATCAATCCCCATCTTCAGCACATCCTCTCGGCTCTTAATTCCCAACTTGGTATCGATCTCGAACTCGACGGGCAAGCCATGGCAGTCCCACCCGAATCGCCGGGTCACGTGGTGGCCGGTCATGGTCTGGTACCGGGTCACTATGTCCTTGATCGTGCCGGCGAGAATGTGGCCGTAGTGAGGTAGACCGGTGGCGAATGGTGGGCCGTCGTAGAAAATATACTCTGGGAGGTCCTTTGTTCAGTCGAGCTGGGTCTCGAAGGCATTGTTCTCGGTCCACCATTGGAGGATTCCCTCTTCTTGCTTCGGGAATGAGAAGTGCTTCCCTTCGCATACATATTCCATTACGTGGTTCGGCAAATTGCGCGGGCAAAGAACGAGTAACTTTACTATCGAAATGAGATCTTCGGCAAATTGCGCGGGCAAAAAAATTTGACTTCATTTAAATATGAAGAAGATATAAGTATAATATCGAAATGAGATCTTCTAGTTCTAGCAAGTGCATGACTTCATTTGAGATTGATCAATAATATTCACCCTGCAATCTTGGGCATCTAAAATGTAGTGTATGGTGCACAAAATAGACTAATTTACCTTATATTTATACGAACTTTTTTCACTTTTATGCATTTATAAAAATATACATACATATATATATATATATATGTTGGGACGGAGCCAGCATGGATCCGATGACGCATGCCGGCCTGGCAGTCCCATTCTTGCCTCACTAAAGGACTTAGGCTGATACTTTTGCTTTGTGTTTTTTTTGTTTTTGCTAGTGTACTATATCAAAACAAGCACAAAGCATGTTTGATAACGTTTATTGTGATTTGAATAATAAGAAGTGTTTTCGAAATTGATGCCAAAATCGGAAGCATAAAAATGATATTTTTATTTGCTTCCGTACTGTAGCAAAACAATGTTCAAAAAACTAATAATAAATAAATAAAATTCTAAAATAACATTTTTAACTAGCCATTCAAATTTTCAAATTTACAACATTTTTTACCAAACATGCTTTCATGTTTTTGCTTAAAAAAATCTTGTATCAAATTTACACTACCAAACAAGTTTCGAAATAGTGTTGAACACACTCTAAAACATAAACATTGATTCTACTACAGGTCAAAGCAAAAGCACGAAGTAAAAGTGGTTGCCAAACGAACCCTAATCTTCTTTTATAGATGGTAACCCCAAAATTATCTTATTCTAAAATTTTCTCTTTTCTTTCATTCTTACTCATCTTCTTCAATAGTAAAAAAAAAAAATTATATATATATATATATATATATATATATATATATCTTCAATGTATATATATTTGTATTCTCTAAAAAAAAAAAAAAAAAAAATTTGCATTCCCTTTATTCAATCAAACATTTTTTTCCCCTTCAAGGTCCTTTAATTTTTTTTTTCTTCACTTGTTTTTTTTATTTATTATTTTTATTGTAGTTGAACAACTATAATGAGATTATGTATATATATAAAATGCAAATACCTTTTTTTATTATTATTATTGAATCATCATATAACAAATAAGTTACCAAACATATTTTTGTTTCGGAATAAATCACACACGCAAAATAAATAAATAAATAAAATTTACGTTTTTAGAAAGAAAAAAATAAATAAAACTTGTTGCCAAAAGAACCCTTAATATCCGTATTTTTTGTTTTTGACTTATTTTTTATAACAATTGTTCTTCGAATTATTAAATACCATATGAGTGTTAGTTAATGCACCATACACTGCATTTCTACTTTTCGACTTATTATTTTAGTGCACCGCTAACTGATTTATTATTATTATTATTTGGTGGTGTTTTTTGTATTCACTTTGACGCTAGGATGCCAAAGCTCCAGCTTAAAGACTGGCAATGGATACAACTGACATAAAAAGTACACAAACCTTATCAATTCCATAGGTGAATGTAATCTAAATTATACTGCACAAGTAGAGACTTGTTTCCAAGGAAATACTTTTATGTTAGTGTTTGAAAGCACATAAATTTCTTTTAATTTAAATTTAAACAGGCGATTCGATACTCCCAAATATAACATTGGTGAGTTTATTAAGAATTTGCTCCCAAATGTTAAAGATTACTATTTAGTATGCATTACTACTCCCCCCTTTTTACTTTTTGATTTACCCTTCAAAAACTCTCATTTTACTTGCAGAAGATATGATGATCAAATCACGTTATGTTCGTCTTTTTATCTCATATTTTTTATACTCAAGCAAATATTACCAGAAAAACAACAATTCATTTCCTAGTGACATTTCCCTTCTTTTCAATTTTTCCTTCTTTCATATTAAAGAAATATTCATCACTCCTCGCTCCAACTAGTCCAAAATATGAATAGTAAATGACGTAATTCTCCCATCAAGTAGAGTAGTTTTTATTTATTTATAATGGCAATAAACACACTCATACCGAAGCTCTCCTCTTCTCTTTGAGAACGAAAAAGTTATACTATTGGATCACACGACTGTTGGTATTGAGTAGAGTAGTTGGGTGGGCAAACCCATATCTACATCCGATAAAGGTGAGGCAATGTCTTACTCTTCAAAAGGTGCCAGGCAAGGAATAAAGGCATGTAGTAAAAGAATATTGTCTGCCACTTGGTCCGGGAACGAAGCCACTAAATAGGTCAGACAAGAATTTAAACATATTCTGCAGTGATAATATATATGGTAAAATATATACTTGGGTATTGAATTTTATTTAACAATAATACATATTAGGTACTCTCATTAGAACAATTTTATTTTTTACTTCTCTTTATTTAAGATACGGATGATTTATTAGTTTAATTTAACAATTGAAAGTGAAAATATTAATTACGCATACATATATTTGGCTTAGAAAATGGTCTTTAGGTTTTTGTGAAAGGGCTAAATTTATAGGTAAGTATGGAGTTTGGGAACTATCGAATTATTATTATTATGTTTTTAAATTCAATGTTACCCCATTCTCTATGCCCGAGTAAACACATATGAATGGCAAAATAACCAATGCGTCATGTTCTGAAAAAAGCCTCTGTAGGATTGGTTAACTGAAAAAAGCCTCTGTAAGATTGGGTATTACCCAGTCGACTAGTTAGTAGACAGCCCAACTTCCGGACCAGATGTGCCCTCTCCCCCTAGTTTGCCAGGAACCAAAACAAATAAATAAATAAAAATAATAATAAAATAAAAATGCCTCGTACAATTTTGGGGGAGAAAAAGGGAAAAGAGCCCCAGCCAAAAACAATCCCATACACATACATTATCAACACCATCTCATTCTAGTCACTTGTAAATCAAACTACAATCACATCAACTCACGAGGAGCTCTGGAGTACAGATAACTCCGTCAGGTTCAAGTATTGTTCACTTTGTCAATAATTGGTGCAACCGAGCAGGAAAATTCACAAAAAATATCCTAAGCTCCTTATTGTAAATGGAAAATAATGGACAACCTTTTCAGTGCAAATGCAGGTACACCGCCATGATATTTACACGCGATTCTCAATCATTAATATCTGTATGTATTTTCCGGAAACTCCGTTCATATACAACAAAGCAACAATAACAACTATAACCGCCTGCATGTATCCCTTTGGAAATCATGTGTTTCTCTTTGTTTAGCCCCTTCTTTTTGGTTACTCTTCCAAAAAAATAAAGATTTTGAAGAATGTAAAACCAACCAATGAGATCAAATCACTGAGTTTTTGTGCTCAAGAAGTAATCCCCAACTGTCAAGAATACATGTTGTCCTAACAGCACGTCCACTGCAGGCTGATTTTCAATGCAATCAACCTTAATCTGTAAAAAGGTAGGAAAATATCCAGAAACCAAGAAATCAACACCACATTTGAGAGACCATCTTATTTTATTTTCTCAAATATATATATATATATATTTGGCAAGGGTTAGCAAAGCATTTAAAGTTCCAAGGAAAAAACAAACCTTTCCATTTCCAAGTTGAAACTCCAACTTTAAATTATGGTAATCCCTTGATAGCAAATAGGTCTGTAAACCTTGGGCAAATTTTGTGTCTCCTGCAAGAGAGGAAAAATAAGACTTTGAAACAGAGGAGAAAAGTAAGGCATTAAAACACCCAAGAAAGATTGCTTCAACCGAGGCAACCTTTTTACAAGAGAAAAAGACGCCTCATTACTCAACCTGTATATAGTGCAAGAAGGACATCACAGTTGAACATTAAAGCAGGTCTGGCCAATGTGATGATGAATTCTAAATTAGAAATGCCCTTGAAATTCTCCTCACAAAGGATCACCTGCAATTTGTGCCGAAGAACGTATAAATTATAAAGTTGCTTGAAGAACCCGTATAAATTTGAACAGTAAGTGCAGAAACCAGAAAACCAAAGCAACATACAAAGAACTGAGAAACCTTTACAATTTGCCACTTTTTTCTCCTAAGTATGGATTTCCAGATAATCACTTTTAGCAAGATAAAAGTTGGGAGACGAGAGACTAGGGTACAAGTTAACCATACCATGAAGGCAATCAGTTGATTACATGATGCAGTACTATCTGGCAACATGGTCTTTGATGTTGTTGATCTATATATGCAAACATATGTAAACATGCCTTCACTTCTTGTTAGGGTTATTGAATGGTGAAATCGAGGTCACAAGTTATGAAGTGCGAGAATGTGTAACTAGGGGTGCAACTTGGGTTGGGTAACCCGAACTCAACCCGAGCTCAGCCCGATTTTTTACAGGCTTGGGCAATCATTTTTACAATTAAGGTTGGGCTTGGGTTGAAAAATCTCAACCCGAATTTAATTAGGGTTGGGCTTGGGTTGAAGTGCTAGCAACCCGAGTCAACCCGAACCCGAATTTTAATATTATTTTCATATATATTTTTACTTTTAAATACATTATATATAACATTTAAACTATGATTACATTTTTTTCTTTTCAATTTCTTCTGTTAAATCTTAACTTATTGTATGTTAACATTTAGGAGAATTAATTTTCTAAAAATTTGTTTGTATTTTATTAAAAATTTACAAAAAGTCTTTAAACTTTTCCTTGTTTAAGAGTAATTTAATCTAAAATTAATTCAAGACCATATTAAATTTTCGGTGTAAGGATTAGCCATATGAGTAACCCGAATTAACCCGAAGTTTTTACCTAGAATCTAAGCCCGAATTGGAAGCCTGAATTTAAAAGTAAAAAGATGGGTTGGCCTTGGGTTGAGTGGTTAAGGTTGAGGATAGGATTAGGGTTGGGCTTGGGTTTAGCATTTCATATGGTGGGTTGGGCTCAAGTTATACTTCAAACCCGCCCAACCCGCCCGAATTGCAGCCCTATGTGTAACTAAGTCTAATAAGGATCATTTTGATGTGTAACTACTACCCAGTCCACCACTCCAGCCAATTCCAGAGAACACAGCCGATTTTGTTATTCCAGTCAATTCAGACCAATTTGGCCGCTAAAAAATAAGGCAAATATTGAGTCAATATGGTCATGAAAAGAAAAAAGCCCGGCACCAAACAGACGATTTTTTTTTTTTTATTTTGGCTCACTCAACAAATCTGGAACTTTGAGCATATACAAAAGAACTCCCTCGGTTTCTCTCTCTCATTTAGCCAATTTCTGAACTACCAATGCCCTCCTATCATATGTTTGTAGCACTATCAAATAGTCTATCAAAGATCAGTGTGAGAAAGGAATGTTTTTGTGCCGTGCTATCTGTTTGGCGAAAAAACGGACATGCATTAAAACAGACAAACATGTGATTAAAATAAATTGGCATTTTTACCCCCTAAATGCACTTCATTAAAACAACAAGAGAGCTACAACCAAACACCAACAAAACAACAAGAGCTGGAAAAACAATTTCCAGACAATAACAAAACCAAAGGCAAAGAAAGAACAGAGCAAAAGGAAAAGCACACCAATGAACAACAGAAAACGGAGCCCACACAACCAAATTAAACATCAAAGCAATAAGGCCCACAACTAAATCAGGATAAGAGCATTCCCAACAGGTCCTCGAGATGCACACCCAAACTGTCAGTAACTTCCCAAATGAAATTCCTAACCGATTGAACAGCATTATTAGAGATTTCATTGTGAAAGGTCTGGTTCCAGTTCCACCAAATACGCCAGAGGATAGTGGAAACGGAAACTTTAACATACTTGCTTCTAACTGATTTAAGAGAAGATTGGAACACCAGAGAAATCCAGAATCAGTACGTCCCGTTCAAATCGGATAAATGAAAGGCTTCCAAAATCGATTTGACAAACTATGCTCCAAGCACCACCGTACTAGCAAGGGAAACACTAATAGCTTTCTCTTTTCTTTTTCTTTATCAACCTAAAACCAGCTTTATCCGAAGTGGCCATTATTTAGTGCTATCACAAAAATAAATTGCCAAAGATGAGATTGGGCTTTGAGTTTAAAGCAGTCACTTGGTGCAAAATAATGCCAAATGTAGGACAAATACTGGATCTTCAGTCAACCTAGAAAGGTATGCCACAAATTAATTACACGGTCTTCCTTTGACTTATACTAACTTGACCGTCGGAGTGCTCCCGGCTGGCACCACGCTGGCCATCCGTTCTCGTCTTGCAAGAAAGGCCCCCGGTTCCGGATCGTGCTGAATTTTGCATCCATTGCCAAGCATAAGAACATTGGTTCGAACTTGGAATTAAGCATTTTGGTTCATAATAATGACAAAGGTCATGGGTGGACCCAGAACTTTTTATTTGGGGGGACAAAATTAATTGCATGAATATAAAAATTTTAAAAACATAATATATTTTTTCTTTAATATAAAGTTAAAACTCAAAACCCATCTTCACAATACAATAGGTAATGTTAAAACAAAATCAAAAATCAAAACCAGAAATATAGAACAAAATCACACTGGCAGTATCTGGCTAGCTCAGTTAAAAGAAAACAAGAAAATAGGAAAAAATCATACCTATGGTCAGCCCATCCAGCTACTGAAGTCAGAGAAGATGAATTTACTTTTCGTAAATTTAAGATCTGTATTTGGTTCCAAATTTTTTCCCAACATTTCTCAAGCTTTCCTAATAGTCAATGTTTCAATTAAATGGGCATGTGTATGAATTGGCAGGTATGAGTGTTGCAACTTGCAACCACTGTAACAGAGGTAAGGGTTTGGCTTGCCCTGAAAAAGTTGTTTAACTTGTTTGGTGAGTAAAGTGGTACTTAAATTATCCATTTCGGTAGTGACTAGTGGGTAAAATGGGTGAGTAAAGTGGCTATATTATTTAGTGAGTAGCACGTAAAATGGTTATATAGACTTATGTGAGATTTGACTTTTGATATTATATATACAAATATTCAATGGATATTTGGTATATACAATGTGTAACTAATCTCTAGTCTTTGAAGTCGTTAAAGAAAATCTTCTTGTAGAATACAATGTGTATGTAAAGTTAAAAGTTAGGTGGTTTGGGTTGGATGGGCCAAGTGTAAATTTAACAAAGACTTAATGCGTAGTGGAGCCCACTTAGTGAGTTCTTTTAAATTTTTGGGCAGGTCATGGCCCCCTTTGGCCCCTTTTTGGTCCGCCCCTGAAAGTTCATATCTGTATTCAGTCCACCCCTTCTAGTACCCTATGCAAGCAAGACCAATAATGTCTAGTCACTACTCACTAGTGGCTTTTAGGGACCATTGCTTGGTGTGGTGGTTAAAGGTTGGGCCACCAAACAGAACCAAAGATTCAAATATGAGGTCAGGCACTTCGTAGAAAATGCTTTAAGGCTACTAGATCATGTTGTCTAACCCCAACAAAACTGTGATCAAGTGCAGGTATGTTCTTTTTACTAATCGTTTGGATGGAGGGATGGATAAATAGATGGAAGGGAGAGGGGTAGGGATGAATGAGGCATCCGTAGGGAATGGAATGTGTCTCCCTCATTTTTTTGTTTGGTTGGATGGAATGGATAGCAGAAATGATGGATGTGGTGACTCTTTTGTTTTTTTTTTGTTTGCTTGGAAGGAAGGGAAAGAGAGTTTAATATTGCATTCACTAATATACCCAAATTATAAAAAATTATATATCCATTCCAACTTATGCAACAAGGTTAAAAATGGCAATTAAAAATTTGTTGGTTATTATCCTGTTTCCTCTCTCCTCTTTCCCCCAATTTTGGGCGGATAGAGAATTACAAAGGAAGGAGGGATGAAGCATCCTTCCTTGCTTATCACTCCTTTCCCTTCCCTTCAACTAAACACAAAAAACTTCTTTCATCCCCCTTCTCATCCATCCCTCCTCAATCCTTCCCTCCAACCAAATATAGCAGAACTAGTTTAAAAACTTACACCATAAGCAACCTACAAAGTCTTAGGGCCAAATTCTATCATTGTTGCATTACTCAACCCGTCACCAACTTAAATGCATCATGATGTGGTAAGGAGGGACACAGTTGAGACTAATACACTCGGCCAATTATGAGATGGAAGCTCTACTGAAGTCTCTATAACGGGTAGTAAAAAATTCCACCAACCATAGAATAATGCCGAGGTAAAGCTACTGGAATTCGGATCTTCCATGCATTTATTTGCATGCAGTGAGCCACATATGAAAGTTAACTAGGTCCACTAAACGAGTACCTTACACGTTAGACTAGAAATCGAAACCATAAGGGTGATTTTGAAAGCAATTCTAGTTTAAATAGCAAGAGGGGACCAAAATTCAGGATTCCAATATTTCACAGAAGCCACTGGAGAAGAAAAATGACAGCTGCTAGCCTAATTTAATAGCATTATTTGAAAGGACTTACAGCATGTGGTGGAATCATGGAAGCAGGAAGCAAAGAAGAACCAATTGCATCCCTAATGTATAGTTCCTGCACAAGGAAAAAAAAAACAAAAAAAACAAAAAAAGAAAAAGAAAGAAAGAAAAGAAATAGTTACTTCTACTCATCAAGGTCATAGCTTGAGAACTTATCAAAAAAAAAAAAAAAAAAATGTCATAGCTTGAGAACACAGGTTCAAATTTGAAATCCGTAACTTTATGTATCAATAATATCTAAGGTTCAATTCATACCCATTCAAATTCTCCTAGCACCCCACATTAGTGGGACCAACAGTTGGTTTGGCCTTTTTGTTTAGTCTAGTTTTTCTTTTTCCTTATTCTTTTTATACTTCTAGTTATCACTGTTGGTAAAAAATTAACAGAATGACTGTAAAAAACTGTTACAATACTGTTATTGCATATGATATATAGTTTCCGAATGCCCAGGGCAAGTAACATATTGTTTAAAAAAAAAAAAAAAAACCCTCAGTATAGCCTCGTCAGTGTCCAGATGCAGGAGAACTGCTTTATCTGACAATTAGGATTTAGGTCCTTTAAGAGAGCCATGTTCATTGTTTACCGTTTACAACAACTTTGTAAAGATTAAAGGAACATATCTAATCTGAGATTCTGAAATTCACCTACAACTCAACTCAGCAAAGACTGTCCCCAGCTACTTGAGGTTGGCTATTCTGAAATCCATCTTACCGTCAACAATTGTTGCATGGGCAACTTATACATTAATTTAGCAACACTATGCTCAAGTATCAACAATGAGATTTCAGCATTATCGACCAAAAAAATACATTAAAATATTAATATTTAGAGTCATAAACAAAAAAGAATGAAGACTGGAGTCACCACTCCCTAGAATAAGTGTCACACCCTGATTCCTATCCACTTGAAGGGCGGAAAGCCCTTTCAACAACTGAACCCTAGTTGGTTGGATCCAAGTGAAGGGATATAACTGACACTTCCAGATCCCTCTCTCAATCTGTGAATTCGTCGTCACTTCACCACGCAGTAAAAGAAACTAGACAGAGATGATTTAACCAGCTTCTCTTATTTGAAGATAGCATTTCGCGTCCAGACACAGAGTCATTTAGCATGTATAAGCTACTATTGGCATGGGGTATTCACTTAATGCATGTAGCACTAACAATTCAATTAGATTGAAAATATTATCAATAGATACTAACATGATGCTAATCAGTCTAAACCTAAAGATGCTACCTGTGAATCCAAAATTCTTTGTGAGACGGATTTATCTTTATCCAGTGATCTAAAGTAAACCTCCACCGTGTCAGTAGGCTCAAGAGCAGCTTTCTTCCGCAACTTCTGGATCCTATTAACAACCTACAATATTAAGTTTAAAGAAAAATTATCAGAAATGCTCATTCTGGTTGGAGTTAGATAACCGAGTCATCAAGGAATGAGTGCAATAACAATATATTTGAGAAGAGGCCCACTAAAAATATGTTGCCCTCAAGCTTATCTAAAAATTTGAATATCCGCACGTTTTTTCTCTCCTTTGAACCCAATAAAAAATTCAAAAAAAAAAAACCCTTCTTAATTCCATATATGATACTAAACACCCCCCCCCCCCCCCCCCCTCTCTCTCTCTCTCTCTCTCTCTCCCTCCCTCCCTCCCTCCCTCCCTTCTTTTCTCTCTCTCTCTCTCTCTCTCTCAAGGAATTGTTTGCACCCAAGAGGATTAGAACCTTACACCCGATGCTTCCTGAGGCACAAGGGCCAAGTTCTTACCCACTTGAGCCCAACCCCTTGGGGTTAAAAAAAAAAAAACCATCCCTACATTCAATAAATGAAATAAACATTTTGCAGTTTACCTCACGAGCAACACCAGCCTCAAACAATGACTCGTCAGGACGGAAATCCAAGATCACCAAGACATCACCTAAAACAAGTAATGAGAAGACTGTGAGAGATGACAAAGCTATATTGTGTATGTAATGTCATAATGTTATTACAGATCCTCACCATCTCCTGCCGCATCAATTTCCTCTTCTGTCATATTATCAGGACATTTGAAACTTCGAATAATCTAGAAGTTCAAACAAGGAGACAAATCAGTTATACAAGTAAAATAGCATTTCAAGGTTTTATGTCCAATGCTCCAAACAATAATTGCACTTAATTAAAAACACGGCTAGTTCCACCCAAAATTAATCAAAGAGTTAAAGGCATAATGCCATTAAATAACCATCAATTAATAGCAACACAAAAAGTTGGTTCACAAATATAATCAATAACAAAATGCAATATATTAGGTGTTATCCAGCACCTTGGTTGAAACTTTCAGCAAGCTACCATTGGAAAGCTTTACTTCTAATACCTAAACATGTGCTGAGGCGTAAGGAAGTATTTTCATTTTTTTCCCTCCAAGACAATATCATTATCAGATTGTTATTAGAAGAATTAAGGACGAATTGTACTGCTGCAAGGGCTGCAGTTTCTTCAATGAAGGGAATGATGGACTAACCTTGATATTTCCTATTCAGGCAGATTCAAGTATACCTATTGCTGGAAAGAATATCACAGCCTTTGTATCCATAAGTTACCACTTAACTAAACTAAATTCAACTCTACAAAATGGTGGGTACAACTTGTTCAAGATGCTCTTCTAGTTTAAATGAAGCTTTAGTTCTTTCCAAATTGCTCAGACTATAAGTAATATGTTTATCTTGAGGGGAACTTTCATAAACATCTACGACAAAGTTGCTTTCGCCACTTGTGGCTATGATAATCAATTGCAAAACCTTAGCAGTTGACATTTGATGCCAAATTTGACTTGCCTATTCCAACTTCTGTTTATTTTTTCCATTTAAGTTTTTACACACTTATATATCCTTGTTTTCATAGATCAAAAGATTCCACTCCAACAAATCCTGACAGTTTTGTTTGAAATAGTATCAAGGTACCAAGGTTGTATAAAAATCACAAAATATATAAATAAAAATAAAATATAAGATGATATAGGAAATGTAAACAAAAAAAAGTGCTATATTGTCCAGGCAACACAACTATGCACCTTAATATCAGACAGCTTCAGACAGTGTGTAGCAATAGTAACTTCGCCAGCTTTCTCAAAAGCTAAAATATCTTCTTGTGACATTGCCTTGACTTCCTTGGCAACAACTCCCATTGATTTTCCAAGCCGTTTACCTAACACGCTAGTAGAAAACAACCGAGTGATATAAACAAAGGGACCAAACAGGAACACATGCATATAAACTTCAGCAGAATGTATAACACATTTACCTGAAATCAGGCTCTGCACGTAAAGAGGAATACTTCAAAACATCATTGCATGGGACAATGGATTTTACATTGAGTTCCTCTAGCACATACTGCAATGCAAATGAAAAACCAAGACAATATATTAAAAATGACATCCAACATAGAGAATCAATATAACAGAGAATATTTGTAATAATTCCAGAATTTTGACTTATTCAAGTGCACAGAACAAATGAAAGAAAACGAGAAATTAAATATGGAAACAACAAAATTACTAGAAAAGTGGATTGAATCTAAAATCAGCAATAAACAAGTATATGTAAATTTGCTCAGGATAGGCTTAGACATGAAGCCACTAACTAAGCGTTCATCCATAACAAATGAAACAAGACATAAATTAAGGAAAACAACGTGTGTGTGTTTCTTGCCAATGAAAAAAAAAAAAATTAATTAGCAATAAACATGTAAATGTAAATTTGCTCAAGATAGGTTTAGACATAAACGACTAATTTTCTATGTTGCGTCAACTTCATCAACAGGAAAGCTCTCTAAGAGACATTTGCCTGAGGATGCAAAACATAATCCATAATTATTAAGATTAGAGTAATACATGTACAATTTGGCTACGAGATCTTTTTTCTAGATTTTGCAAAATTTCAGAAATAAGCAATGAAATTGACTATACTATCTCTTATAGTAGAAAATTTTCATCCTTGTAGTAGAAAATGAGGTAAAAACAAAGAGGTATGAACAACTATAGTTGAAGTGGAGGAAGAATAGGGCCCTCGCTGACATTGCTGAGATTGATAGATTGGAAGGGGTGGGTGGTATTGTTGAGTCCCAACATAATAGGAGAGCAGCTTGTCAGGCAGGATGTGTTGAGATTGCGGTTATGGAGGAAATTTCGTGGCGACAAAAATCTCGGGCTTTGTGGCTCAAAGAGGGGGACCGTAATACAAAGTTTTTTCATAGAACTGCTAATGCCCGTAGGAGGGGCAATCATATTGGGCGGATGTGTGTGGACGGAACGGTGTTGAATAGGGAGGAGGAGGTGCGTAGGGGGATCGTTTCTTTCTACCAGAGGCTATACTCTGAGCCTCTACGTTGGAGGCCACGGCTTGATGGTCTTCATTTTTGATTCTATATTAGCTGTGGATAGGGATGTGTTAGAGAGTCCCTTTACAGAGGAGGTTTTGAAGGCTTTGAAGAGTTGTAATGGTGACAAGGCCCCAGGTCCGGATGGCTTCACAATGAGATTTTTATTGGAGAGCTAAAAGGTGGTTAGACAGGAGGTTATGGGCACTTTTCATGAGTTCATTCTAATGGGAGGTTCGAAAAGTCGCTGAATGCATCTTTTATTGCTCTTCTTCCTAAGAAGGGTGGTGCATCTGACATTAAGGATTTTAGACCAATAAGTCTGATTGGGTGTATGCATAAGCTTATCGCTAAAGTCCTTGCGTTAAGATCGAGGGAGGTACCAACGGGCCAGTGGCCTAGCGGTACTATGCTCCTATTTTTCAAAGGGAGGTAAGAGGTTCGAACCTCGGTGGAGGCATGTGTGTGCGAGTACCAATTAGGAAAAAAAAAAAAAAAAAAGATTGAGGGAGGTTCTGGACGGAGTCATCTATGAGTCTTAAAATACGTTCATTGGGGGTATACAGATCCTGGATTCCGCTCTAATTCCCAGTGAATGTGTCGATTATAGGCTCAATAGTGGTGTTCCTTGAGACTGGAGTTCTGTGTAAGCTTGATATTGAGAAAGTCTATGATCATGTTTGTTAGAATTTTTTGTTTTATCTGTTAGAGAGGATGGGTTTCGAAGAGAGATGGAGGAGATGGATCGAAACATGCATTTCCTCTGTCAGATTTTCTGGTGAATGGGTCTCCATCCGGGTCTTTTGGCAGTTCTCGTGGTTTGAGGCAAAGGGACCCACTCTCCCCGTTCCTGTTCATTAATGTTATGGAGGCTCTTAGAAGGTTGATGAGAAGGGCTGTAGATTCGGGATTTATCAGGGGCTTCAAGATTGGTCAAGTTTCAGATGGAGATCTCTCACCTACTTTTCGCGAATGACACTAGTTTTCTGTGAGGCAGAGGTGTCCCAATTAAGATATTTGAGATGTACCTTGATTCGCTTTCAGGCTGTTTCAGGTTTGAAAGTCAACGTAGGCAAGAGTGTGCTTGTCCCTATGGGGAAGGTTCAGGAGGTGGATTCTCTTGCAGCGATTTTTGGGTGTGGGACGAGCTCTTTTCCTATTTCTTACTTGGGCTTGCCATTGGGTGACTCGTCAAGGAGGGTGGGAAGTTGGGACCCGGTGATTGAGCGTTTCGAGAGAAGGTTGGCTGGGTGGAAAAAGTAATATCTTTCGAAGGGAGGCTAAGTTACTTTGGTGAAGAGTACATAATCAATCTTCCAACTTATTTTCTTTCGCTTTTCAGGACCCCCTCCTCTATTGTTAGAAGACTTGAGATGCTTCAACGGAACTTCCTATTGGGCGAATGGGGGGAGGAGTTTAAATTTCATCTTGTCTGGTGGGAGCAGGATTGCAGACCCTTTAAGTTGAGAGGTCTAGGGATTAGGAGATTGGCCCCTTTCAATAGAGCGCTCCTAGGCAAGTGGTTATGGAGATTCGGCAGTGAAAGACATAAGTTATTTATTTATCAAAAAAAAAAAGACATAGGTTATAGAGAAAGGTTGTTTCATGTCGTTTTGGGGAGGAGAGAGGGTGATGGTCATCAAGGCCGGTCAGATCTGTTGTCGGCGTGGGCGCGTGGAAATCCATTTGGAAGGGTTGGGATGAGTTCTCTAAGCATATTAGATTCAGAGTTTGAAAAGGAAGGGACGCCCGGTTTTGGGAGGATACTGGGTGCGAGGATCGCCCATTGTCTTGTTTGTTCCCACGGTTGTTCAGGATTACTGTTGACAGACATGCTTTGGTTGTTGACTGCTATCAACTCGATAGCGGTAGGTTGTCTTGGGATGTGCGGTTCCGGTGATCCTTTCAAAATTGGGAGTTAGATGACATCACTGGCTTGTTGAACCTTTTGTATAGACAGGAGGTGGATGGTACTGGTTCGGATTCTTTGACTCGGGTGCCTTCTTCGCAAGGGACTTTTCAGGTCTGGTCCTTCTTTCTCTGCCTCTCCGGGTTTCACGGTACCAATTTCCCGTGGAAAATGGTTCGGCATTCGAGGGCTCCTCTTAGGGTGGCCTTTTTAGTTTGGACTGCAGCTTGGGGTAGGATCTTGACTCTGGACAATTTGAGAAAGAGAAGACAAATCATAGTCAACCGGTGTTGTCTGTGCAAGAATGATGAAGAGTATGTGGATCACTTTCTTTTGCATTGTCCCGTGACTCATGACTGCTGGAGTCTTATTTTGGGTCTTTTTGGCGTCCAGTGGGTTATGCCCTGGACCTTAAGAGATTTTATTGACATTTGGAGGGGCCAAAGGGTGGGGGCTCATGTTCGCAATTATTGGAGGGTGACCCCCCATTGTGTTTGGTGGACCCTTTGGGAAGAGCGGAATAAAATATCTTTTGATGGGGAGGAATTCTCCATTGGGGGGTTGAAGTTTTCTATTATTTGTTCTCTGTTTAGTTGGGTTATGGGGAGAAATTGTATATCTTTAGATGAAATCGTGGACTTTTTGGGTTCTTTGGGTCCATAGGACTCCCCATTTCTCTTTTTTTTTGTTTTTGAACAGCTCTTGGGACGTGTTCCCCTTTTGAATGCTTTCTAATACATTTTTACTTATCAAAAAAAAAAAACAAAAACAACTATAGACATAATTAAAATAAGTAATTAAGATGATCAATAAAACATAATTGATTTAAGATATAACTTTTATTCTAATTCAAAGATTACTATAATCCAACACAGAAGTTTGAGGATAAAATGGGAATGCAGGGATAGCGATTTAAAATAACAAGTGGGAGCAAGCCAGAATATAAGGTGTGATACATTTTTGCTTCTAGACATATAGCAGCAATAATACAAGGTGGTCTTACCAACAGGCCTGTGGCCTAGTAGTACAAGGCTCCTACTTCCCAAAGGGAGATCAGGGGTTCGATCCTCAGTGGAAGCAGTGTGTGTGTCCCAACTAGGAAAAAAAAAAATACAAGGTGGTCTTGATAAAGAGGCAAGATATTTTTGGAGATGGTAGAGATATTTCATCTTGTTTCAGTTGATCACTTACTTTTTGTGATTCTGGTGGGAGTAGCATGAAAGGATTTTCTCCTGAAGCTAGCTTGAAGGCAAAAGATCCAGTAGTCCAAGAGAGTACAAGTTTAAAGTAATCTAAAATTGATAAAAGACGAAGATTTTGAGGCAGATGTCGACGGTCATGGGTTCAAAAAAATTTCTAAAAACTATACATTTTCATGTAGCAGATTCTGTTTGGACACAGCCAATGCCTGATACTGTGATGGAATTATGCAAAGGATTGAAGGGAGCTAGGTCTCAAAACCTCTTAAAGAATATGCACTTATAAAAAAAAAAAAAAACCTCTTAAAGAATATGCTGTCAAGACAAGAAAACACAAACATTTTTTTTTAAAATATTGCAACAGAATTACAGTATTTCACAAGTCCATTGAAGCACTTAAATGTTCACAGGATTGCCAAATATTGTTTTGTGAGCAAAGATACAGTGGTTGATGAAATTGAACAAAACATGGAGCAAATGGTCAGGTAGCAAGTAAAAATGCTTAAAGCCATGGGTAAATTGTAGATGCAAAAAAAGGAAGTACTTGAATTGGACAGCTTGTGAAGCAAAAGGTTTTAATCTCATGTTCCAAGGCATGGCTATAAACAGACATGTACCACGGGTTATCAAGGAAGCTAATCAATAACAAATTTCAATTACACTTCCACTAGGGCTTTGAAATTGATGAAGGAATTTACATATAATAGGGAAAAAGTTCATTCAATTAACCAGATTTGTCAAAATTTTCAAAGCTTGAATATGGTAAGGTATAAACATAAGATATTGCTTTTGACTATACGATAGCTTGATAAAAACATTCATTTGAGATATAAAGCATGGAATGTATATATCATTATATCAAATGAAAGCTCAGGCTAGCAAGGAAACAAAATTGGGAAAGCGGCCATTTTGTTCAAAAAAATATCAAAGGTTAGAGCCAAAATAGTATTTCCAACCTAACACACCACATAAGCAAGATTATCACTAGGTAATGGCCTACATAGCCTAGATGTGTCGAATGCCACCAGAAAGAGAGTTACCACAAGAAGGAGTAGCATTTCATCAATCAGAATAAAATAAAATATTTATTTTTATATCAGATAAAAAGTTGGACAGGTTTAATTGTATAGGTTAGAATATAAGAAAGAAAAGCCATTATACATATCTAGTAAATGTACCACAAGCAACAATATTTTATTAGTTAGATTATCAAATAAACAGTTGGCAAAAAGTAAGATTAATTGAACATATACATATCTTGTAAATGCCATTATACATATCTTGTAAATATACCACAAGCGACAATATTTTATTAGTTAGATTATCATATAAACAGTTGGCAAAAAGTAAGATTAATTGTACACATACATATCTTGTAAATATACCACAAGCACCAATATTTTATTAGTTAGATTATCATACAAACAGTTGGCAAAAAGTAAAATTAATTGTACATGTTATAAACAAAAAGAAAAAAATAAATAAAAATATATAACCCAAAATATTAGAAATTTTATTCACAGACCTCATTTAGTTTTCCAGTTATATCATCAAGAAACTCGGTATCCGGATGAACTACAACCATCTCCCTGCAATCCATAGAAATAATGGAAATTCACTTTTAGAAGAAACAATACAAATGAGTGGATAAAGAAAAAACAGGAGACAAGCTAAAAGCACAACCTAAGTGGAGTTTTAAGAGGCTTATTATGACGCTCGCGGATATTGCGGGCAACATCAATAATTGTCATCATTCTATTAACACTTTGTTCAATACGTTCCCCGCCCTGATATGGCATAAATAGTTGTTAGATTTATTAAAATTGTTTGGTGGAAAAAACAACGAAAATTTTCAGAAAAGTCTCACAACAAATACACATAAACAACCTAAGACATTAATTCACAAATTAACAATACCTTTCCTTCTTCTTGAGGAAATCTGCAATAGTGGATGCTTTCCTCTAATCCATTGCAAACTTTTCGCAAATTTTGGTACAGAACTTCAGTAAAGAATGGCGTAAATGGAGCCATTGCTTTGCAAGAAGTTAGAAGCACCTTATACCCAAAACCCGGATTACAAGATGTAAGACAAGCAAAATTGGAATCAAGTATGCAATTCATAGTTGAGTGCAAAAATAGCATAGAGGAATAGATAATGACAGATACCAAGTCATATATAACACAATATCCCCAATGAGAAACACACCAAACACTTAGCACCCAAGCAGAAACGATAGCATAATAAGAATATATACCACTACGTGGAAGCAGTTCAAGTTGACCACTGGCAATCATCAAGTCACACAGAGAGGCAGTACTGTCAGTACAGCATCAAAACAATGCTCTAAGACATGAAAAGAGCAACTTTGGATGATGACATGCAGTATGAACTCAAATGTCTAGATTAAATCTCACCTTACTTCTCAGAACACAACGAGGAGCGAGAATGACATATTAGCAGATAGATATCTGTTAGGATTAGAACTCAGTGTAGACAAATTTCGTAACAAAAGCAGTAGCATGTATATTTATTTTTAGCCTTTGATTAGTTTTGCAAAGGTCAGTTTGGATAGCTACATAATGCAATAAAGAACAATGTTTGGACAGAAAGATGATGCTAATTATGCCAAGAAAAGCAAAAATCAAAAGGCACAAAATAATGATGACATAAAAAGTGCACCGAAAAAAAACAAAAAGGGTTGCAACAAGCAACGGTCTAAACAGTGCAGGACCAATGTTAAAGTCATCATACCTGGTATAAAGTTGAAAGTGCTGTCCTGCAATCTTCTTCTCCTGTCCGGCCTTTAAGTCTCTTACGGTTCAACCGCACGTATATATTCGTAAGGTTATCAAGAAATTTCAGGAGATGAGGAACCACCTAAAAAGAAATTGGAGGTATAAATATTTGAACACCTTAGTAACATAAGAAGTGAATATAGAATAACCTATGTTATATGTACAAAATTATGCTCGTCGGCTGAGGGCATGTTTTTAGCTGCCAGTCCAATAAAAACTCAAACCCTACAACATAATAGCATCAAATTTTCAATATTCTACCAAATAACAAATGCAATAATGTGGTGTTAGGCACCGTAACATAGAAGCTTCAACAAATTTGGATTACACATGTGAATAACTAATATATAAAATGTTTTTTTCAGGAAATATAAAAAAATTTGCCCCGTGGCCAGAGACAGTTGGGGCTTACTTTTGGTTATGATTGGGATTCAGTGGGTTATGCCCATGTCTCCAAGGGGTGTGATTGAGGCTTGTAGAGGTGGTTCATTGGGTTCCCAAGCCCGCGACTTTTGGAGGGAGGCGCCCTTGTGCCTTTGGTGGTGATTGTGGACGGAGCGGAGGGTAGAGCCATTCAAACAAAATTTTACAGATAAAAAAATTAAAATAAAATAAAAGAAAAGAAAAAGAAAAAGAAAAAATGTTCATCTATTCCTTCCCATGGATACATGGTATGGAGAGTAGTCAACAATTAGCACACAGAAAGCCCAAAAATTTCCAAATCATGACTAAATTGGCCTTCTTTACTTCTTTCTCTAATGGAATATTTTAACTTGGTCAATCTCAGAGTTGAATTCAAATCAACCAAAAGTTAATGGCTAGTACGTTTTCTGACACATAACATGTGTTTTTGAGAGGTTTGGTAGATGCTTGGACAGGATGTATAGTGGGGGCCCAAGTCCATGACTTACGGAGGGTAGCGCCTTTGTGCGTTTGGTAGTGTTTATGGCTTGGAAAAAACAGCAGATCCTTTGAAGGAAAGGAGACACCTATTGGCGGGCTGGAGTTCTCCATTCTTACTCTTTTTATTGGGTTGTAAGGAGAAATTGTAAATCCATGAGGGAGATACTTGAATTTTTGGACTATTTGAGGGTCTAGAGGCCCTATTTGGTCTTGTGTAGCTTTTGAGGGATGCATTCCCCTTTTGAGGGCTTTCTATTACAATCTTACTTACCAAAACCAAAACCAAAAAAAAAAAAAAAAACAAAAAACAAAAAACAAAATAAAATCAACTCATAAAAACATCTTAAATTCTAGACAGTTAGTTCTAAGCCGCTCAATAATATGACAATCCTCAACAAGCGATCAATGTAGCAAAAACACTACTTCACAAAATTCTCGTCCACTCTTTGAAATGCAATGGACACATCCATTATTTACAAACATTTCTTTTAACCAAAATACAAAACAAAAAAAAACGAAAACAAAAAAAGAAACAGAAAAGAAAAAGGAAAATGAAGATGAAGCAACCTAACATCGCATGCATGTCTGCCACAATTGCAATTTTAAAAATTCTAAAGCACAGTGTACAATAATATAATTATGTCCACAATAATTGCCATGTACTGTATTTCTGAATTATGCAACTATTGGCATACAAACATAAAGAATAAATAACAGATTTATCACGATCATATATACTACATATGTTTATCTATGAAAACATTCTTATACCACTTTGTCCATGCTGTCTAATTGATTACATTTTTAGATCCTGTCATGTTCGCATATCCATGTCTCTATGTTCGTGTAATGCTTCTAAGTCACCACTGTTCTTTTTAGTTCAATGAGCTGACGAATGTTATCACAAAAATCAAATAAATAATGCAACAGTAGTGCTACTACAACAAATTAAGAAACTTATGCAGTCTTAGGGAGTTGTATTTTATATACTTTTCTGTATTTGTTAGAGATAACTTTGTCTTTTCATATTCTAGTTAGGCTTTATATTAAATCTTATCTTCTGTAACATTATTATTTGGTAATGTAATATATGAAGGCTTTTCTTCTCTCCTTTCCTGTGCAAATTTACAGCACACTTATAGACTGCAGCTGATGGCACATACCTAAAACCGGGTGACTCTTTAGGCCAGCCAATCCGACACCCGTAAATTACATCATCAATAAATTATACTGCTACAACAGAGGACATAAGGCTCATACATATACCATCTCTTCACCACATGAGCTATATACTTAATTTTTTTTTTTTTATAAGTAAAATTGTATTAGAAAGCGTTCAAAAGGGGAACGCGTCCCAAGAGCTATACAAATACCGAAACCAAAAAGGGAGTCCAATTGACCGAAAGAACCCAAAAAGTCCACGATTTCATCTAAAGATAGACAATTTCTCCCCATGACCCAACTAAAAAGAGAACAAATAATAGAAACCTTCAACGCCCCAATGGAGGATTCCTCCCCATCAAAAGATCTTTTATTCCACTCTTTCCAAAGACTCCACCAACCACAAAGGGTTGCCCTCCAATAGTCATGAGCATGAACCCCCACAATTTGGCCCTTTGGCCCCTCCACACGTCAATTAAATCCCTTGAAGTCCTATAAACTTACTGAGAACCCTATAAGAGCTATATTAATAATCTGACAGGCAAGGAGATTTCAAGCCCATTTTTCTTGCTATATAAGTATTTGAATCATCTAAAGGCTTCACATTTTCTAACTACAACATATTTCTTTAAAAAGTACTAGATATGTCAAAATGTTTAGCAGAAATCTAACCGTATACAGTCGATATGCATCCATTTCTTGGCAGACAAAATGAACCAGACTCTGAGTGGCCGAGTTGATCCACTGATCAAGCACATTAGACGACTTTTGAAGAGTGAACTGTTCAATAGGAACAAATGGTGCAAATCCCTCGATCTCAAGTCTTTTTGCATTCTGAACAAGGAACCTGTATGCATTGTACCATGGCAAAAAAACATCTTTGACCTGCATCAACATCATTATCCGGTATTAATACAACCAATTGGAGATCAACCAAGATAAAAGGAAAATACAAAAAAGGAGGAATATTAAAAATCAGAAAACCAGATGAAAAGATCAAATCAAACAAAAATATTAATATGAAAGAAGAAAATAAAACTTTAGAAAATCACTCACAACACCATAAACTCCGTCCTTTTTGAAACGAAAAGGCTCTGCACGAACAACTGGTGAATTAATAAGGTACAGTCGTAACGCATCCTGTACAACAGACAAGTAAACAAATGAACGAAAAAGACAAGCAAGATTATGAAATGCAATAAAACAACCAAAAAGAAGAGAGATCTGAACAAGAATACTTGAACACCAACAAGAGCGGCAGCAATAATATAATACTGAAAAGAACATAGAACAACAACAATAATCAACTCATACAAACAATAAGACTTACAGCCCCGTATTCATTAATGACTTCCATACATGGAGGATAGTTCTTCAATCTTTTACTCATCTTTTTACCATCCTCAGCAAGGATAAGCCCATTGCAAATGAGATTCCTAAATGCTGGTTTCCCAAATAATGCAGTAGACAAGACCATGAGAGTATAGAACCTGCAGAATGTAACACAAAGACTTAGTTTCCACTTTTAGTATTTGTTCATCCTTCAAGACAACAAAAGTTCCTCTAGTGTACGACGAGAGAAGGAGAAAGGACCCCATCCCCCGTAACTGTTAAACCATTCAGTACTTAACATAAAAAGGTTGCTCCAAAGAACATCTATGAGAAGGGATCAACAAAAGGCTCCAAGAACGAGATAAAGTGATATTTTCACTATACACTGAATGGAGACACCAAAAATAATATAGCCCAATTGTGATATATTATAAATTGTGTGTACGTTTATATGTTCAATCCTATTACACACACACACACACACAAACTTTTTAGTACAGTATATAATTCTGAGCAGTGAGGTACAATCTATTTCCTAAATGTACAACTCAACTCGACTAAGCCTCTTCCCAACTACTTGCCTACAAGAATCCTATTTTCCCATTCCACACTATCCAACCACATATTAGCATACCCTACCAACTCTACCCACGTTAAGTTTGTACTTCCCCGTCCCCTAGCATATTCCCTAATATGGACCATGTAACTCTTCCTAACTGGAGCAATCAATGATCTTCTTTGCACATTACCTACCAAACCATCATAATCAATTTTCTCTAATTTTACCTCCAATTAGTGCAAGTCCAACTATCTCACGAATGCATTCATTTCTAATTCTTATTCGCCCCACATTCTGTCACTCAAAGAATGGCTGGTTTAATAACTGTTTTACAGATCATCCCTTTAAATCTTAGAGGGCACGCTGAAGCACAAAATGTTATATATACTCATTATTACCCATTGTGCATCCAGTTTATCTCCTTCATTATGAATAATTGAGCCTAAATACCAGAAATGCTCAATTTGATTGTACCTTATGACCCTTGGTCTGCACTACATCTCTATCTAAATTTCTAAATTAACTAAAGTTACACTCCGTCGTATACCTACCTTTTCTTAAAACATTTCCAGTCGATTTGGTAGACGGAGACGAAGTGTCAGAACCGATGTTGACATCTATGGTGTCAACAATGCAATTAAAAGTTGTTGGTAATGCATAACCACCTTTATAAAAAAAAGTGCAGAGAGCAAGCAAAAAACAAGTCCTTTAATGCAAAAAACAAGTCCTTTAATGCAAAAAAAGTTGGGGAATATATATATATATAAGAAAACATATATATCCCTAAGCCTTATATATCCCTCTAATCCTAGCACACCAAGTATACATTAGTCTAATTGAATATTAAGCCAACAAAATATATGAGCTACGTTTCTCCAAGACTAACAATTCCTAGACCAAAGTCCTAATACCAAATTAATCCAGTCAAGAGCTGCTAAAGCACTTACAAAGTACAACACAAGCTTCTTGTGACAAATTAATTTACAAACACAGCTTAATGTCATAAAAATTTCAGAGACAAATTTTATCAACTGAAAATGAAAAAACAATGTTCAAGAACATGCTATCAAGTCAATTACATGCTAGAGAAGGTTTTAAAATATACAATAAATAAATAAATTAAATTAAATTAAAAAACCACTAGAAGGGTGAATACAATAAAGGATAGGTTGAGAAGGCAGTAAGGGAATGGTTAGAAAGGGGAGAGAGGTACACAGAATTAGATAAAGAACAAAAAAAAATTATCTCAATTTAAGTACAGTAGAGAAGATTGAGAATAAGAAAGAGAAAAAAAAACGAGCAAGAAACAGGGTAATACAAAATGAGAACAGGAGATAAAGTGAATTTTTTTATTTTTTTGATAAGAAAGTATTCATTGAAGAGCACCTAAAAGGGAGACGCATCCCAGAACAAGCTGCGCAAAAACCTATAGCCTCAAGCCATACCCAAAAGCCAACAGAATCTCCATAGATTTACAAATTAAACCCCAAACCCAAAAGAATAAAGTACAAAGAATAGAAAATCTAAACACCCCCCAAGGGGACTCCACCCCGTCAATAATATCCTATTTCTCACTTTCCATAAAGCCCACCATAGGCAAAGGGGAGCAGTTCTCCACGCATATCTTGCCATCCCAAAAACCCCTAGCTCTGGGGCAATGGAGAAGCAGATGATCCACCGACTCCCCATCCCTCTTTCACATACAGCACCAGTTGACAATAATCAGATGCCGCCGCCTCCTCAGCTTGTCAAGAGTCAGAATCCTCCCCAGACCCCAGTGCTGCAGTCCAACCAAAAAAGGCCACACTTATTTGCCAACTTTTCATTTAATCTTAATGACATATCAATGAAGTCAATTAATTTGTCATTTCATGCATGTGAACCTTTCGGACGAGTACAGCCCCCAAAGCATAGGTTACGAACACCCAAAATAAAATATTTGAGAAAAGCCCATAAAAAAGACTAGCAGTAAAGAATATTAAAAGGGAATGATACTAATGCCCTAAGCTACACCAAAACTTCATACGTATATAATAAAATTACAAACAGAAGCTTGGTAGAAGTCTTCTCCGTGTTCCATTATAGATTCATCCAAGTACAAGAAACAATTATAACAGAGGCAAATAGTGGCAACATCATTTCCTCGAAACTAAAAAGAATCTTATAATACATCAGGACAACAAAGCAAAAAAACTACAGATAAAACCAACGAAAATGTGCTTTGCTACATCGAAGTAGTAGCATAAACATACAAATAGACAAGAAACTGACCATCCACGAGTTTGATCCAACCCCTCTGCCACAAAATGGCCAGGGAAATTGTGCTCAAAACGTTCAGCATTCTCAAACGGATAATGGATATAAGCGTAAGGCATGGACCCGCTCTCAAACCAACAATCAAACACCTGAAAACAAAAACATGTTTTAATAACAGCAGGCTAGAAAGAATTGAAACAGCCGAAATCTCTCCCTCACCCAAACAAAGACCCAAAAACAAGAAGAGGGAGGGAGAGGGGGGGGGGAACGTCCTTCTCTACTCTATTTTACAGAAAATGACTACTCACATACTCAAACCTGTGTCCTCCATCCCTAAATTTTAACTGTACAACGGAAAGATTCCTTGCAATGAAGGTATCTTATTAAAACAAAAAGACACTCTAAGCTCTGCAGTTGTTTTCAAAATAAAAATTCATAACTAAGCGACAAAAATCCGTTTTCCCAATATTTAAGAAGAAGAAAAGACAATGCATGTTTTAGTGTCAATATAGGTATTACTCAAGAAAGATGGTGCACTAGGAAAGTGTGGGAAAAAAAATCATCAAAAAACCGAAATTCCAACTAAATTCCATCTGATAAAAAGTAACTAAAAAATAACTCTGGTCACATTTCACTTGCCAACCAGAACTCTGACAGAAGATATAAGGATGGCTTATAATTTTTAGTTGGGAAATAATACAATATACAAAATTAAATTCCAGATAAACATTAGGATCTTTTGGAGGTCCAGTTTCTCTAATCCATAAAAGAACTTGTATTAAAGTCTTAACTGTTAATATCAGCTACAAGGGTAACAGATATTCAGAAATCAGCTCACAAGTTTGGATCCCCAGCTTGACATAAACAGGACAAACACTCTGAACTTTACAAAAATGATGGATGATTTAAATTGTCTTCCAAATCTTGAACAGCTCAAGAGTCAACTAGGAGAGGCTCAAACAGTAAAAGAAACAAAAAAAGAGCTTGGAGGCCTCAGCTTAACGACTCCAAGATCCATAACCAGGAAGTGTGAAAATAAATTTCAATTTACTCCAAGTAAACTCAAATTACTCTAAGTAAGAATAAGTATGCAAAACAAGAAATTGTAAGCTGACACTCAGAATTGATGGTCTTACATCATCTACACGTCGAAGCACGCCAAAATTAGGACCACGGCCTGAAGGAATAGTGATGTGATCAATATGGTGACGATGCAAATCAGTCACCTGCAAATTATTTGGAAAAAGAATCATTTAGCAATGCTAACTTAATAGAAAGTTAGCAATCGCGAAATTAAAACAGGAAATTATGGACAAAAGAACTTGGAAACTAAAAGAATAACAAGTATTTACAAATACAAACCAGAGTAGTGTTCTTTCCGTTCTTTTAAATTCACAAAGATGTAATTGGGAAATAAATGATCAAAGAGAAGATAGTAAATGCATGACAATAAATTAAGAAACAAAAACTAAATTTCTGAAATTCTAGACATATGATAAGGTTTATGGAATGATGTTCTGCATGAATGCAACAAGCTATATCAAATATTCTTTTCGCATGAACTTCACGCTATATTTGTATTTTAGTCTGCGATAGCTAGTGAATAAAAAGAGCAGTATATAAGCCAAGCACAGGACTTCCATGCGACAAAAGAGAAACGATAACAACAGAGACTAGCAATAATTTCTCTTAAATGGTAAAAATTACGGAAAAAATTAAATGCCACAATGGTCAATATGGTTCAAGGCACTCTTTATAAACCAAGGTGAACTACAGCTTTGGTGTTTGGGAACGGCTTGCGTAAAATGCGAGCCTTCAGGACCATGTGCACAATACCTTCTAAGAAACAATGACAAAATATCAATTGAATCATGAAAAGATTTGCAGCCAAGAATGCCGAGAGAGAGAGAGAGAGAGAACTTACTTTGACTCCAGAAAGCGTTTCAAGTTTATCAATTGAATCCATAACTATTGTTTCCTCACCATCCTCGCTAATCCATATTGGAAGAGGAGTTCCCCAGAATCTACTTCGACTAACAGCCCAGTCTCTTGCATTTTCTAGCCAATTGTGAAAGCGTTTTTCCTGAAACATGACTTTAAAAAGATAAGAGGCAGCACTGACAAAAATAAATAAATTTAACTGGGGTAGAGGAGAAAAAAAGTCTAATTTATGTTAAATCCAACATTTAATAATAATTTATACAATCCTTTTTTTTTTTCTTTTTTTTTTGATAAGTAAGACAATGGTATAGAAGCGCTCAAAAGGGGAGCGAAGCCCAAAAGAACTACAAAAGGCCAAAAAGGGCCTCTAAACTTTCAAAGAGTCCAAAAAATCAACAATCTCCTCTAAAGATGTATAATTGCTCCCCACAACCCAACAAAAAAGAGTGGAAATAATAGAGAACTTAAGCATAGAAATAGGATTCTCCTTTCCTTCGAAAGATCTCCTGTTCCTCTCGAGCCAAATACACCACCAGATACACAAAGGCGTAACCCTCCAAGCATCCCGCGCTTGAACCCCATTGTACAACCTCTCCAAGCCTCAATTAATCCTTTGGAGGATCTGGGCATGAATAATTTATACAATCTAATTTGTACAATTTATGTTAAATCTAACATGTAATAATCATAAATAAATAAAACAAACTACGAAACAATATTGTGTTCAATGAGTAGATTATTAAAACTCTAAGAACCTGTATTTTAACTTCATAGATACATATAAAGAAACAATAAATTCTAAGAATAAAAACACATGTTTGATATTGTCCAATAAGACAAACCAATAAAATCCTCCAGTTATTAACAAAAGGAAATTAGGAGGCTGAGATCCTGTGATTGAGAGATTTGAAAGGAGACCGGCTGGTTGGAAGAAGCAGAGATTTCAAAGGGTGGGAAGGTTACTCTTTTGAAGAGTACACTGTCGAGTCTACCTACTTACTTTTTATCCTTTTTTCAAATTCCCGTCTCAGTAATTAAAAGGATTGAAAGACTTCAACAGAACTTCCTTTGGGGTGGACGGGGGACGAGTTCAAGTATCATCTTGTGGATCAAGTGTGCAGGCCAATTCCATTAGGAGATCTGGGTATTAGGAAGTTGGCCCTTTTCAGCAGGGCTCTTTGGGGAAAGTGGTTGTGGAGATTTGGTAGTGAGAGCCATTGTCTTTGGAGGAAGGTGGTTTTGCGTCGCTATGGAGAGGAGAGAGGCGTTGGTCCTCAAATCCGGTCAGATTCGTTGGAGGTGTGGGTGTTTGAAAATTCATTCGTAACAGATGGGATGAATTTTCTAAGCATATTAGATTTAGAGCACAGGATGGCAAGGGAGATCGGTTCTGGGAAGATTTATGGTGTGGTGGTCGCCCGTTGGCTCGTTCCTTTCTCAGACTTTTTCGGTTTGCCGTGGATAGGCATGCTTTGATGGCCGATTGTTATCGTCTCGATAACGGTAGGCTTGCGTGGGATGTGTGTTTTCGGCGTTCCTTTCAAGATTGGGAGTTGTAGGAGGTTGCAGGTTCATTGGAGTTGTTGTACGGAGAGGAGGTAGATGGTAGTGGCACGGACTCTCTGGTTTGGGTGTCTTCCTCTTAGGGGAGGTTCAAGGTTCGTTCCTTATTCCGTTGTCTATCTGATTTTCATTGTTCTAATTTCCCTTGGAAAATGGTGTGGCGTTCCAAGGCTCCCTTCCGAGTGGCCTTCTTTGTTTGGACTGCTGTTTGGGACTAAATTTTGACCCAGGATAATTTAAGAAAGAGAAGACATATTACAATCAATTGGTGTTGTTTGTGCAAGAGAAGTGGCGAGTCTGTGGATCACCTTCTTTTGCATTGCCTGTAGCACACGACTGTTGGAGCCTTATCTTTGGCATTTTCGACATCAATTGGGTTGTGCCTCGGTCCTCGAGGGGTTTGATTGACGCTTGGCGAGGCTGTAGTGTGGGAGCAAACGCCCGTGAGTGTTGGAGGGTGGTTACCCTTTGTGTGTGGTGGAGCTTATAGAAGGAACCAAATAGAAGATCTTTTGAAGGGGAGGAATCTTCCTTAGGGGCCTTGAAGTTTCATATTATTAGCTCTCTTTTTAGTTGGGTTTTAGGGAGAAATTGTACATCCATTGATGAGTTTATTGATTTTTTGGGTTCGGTTGGTCCTTAGGACCATGTCTCTGGCTTCGGCCTCTGTATAGCTCTTGGGACGCGTTCCCCGTCTGAACGCTTTCTAATACATTTTACATATAAAAAATAAAATAAAATAAAATAAAATAAAAACAATGGGCCTTCTCTAAATAGTTCCTTGGGCCACCACAAAATGGGTAGGACTTTGCTGATTTTAATTTTGGGGACCCAATGAGAAGAACTTACTCCTCTGCTAACACAGTGTAGATACGAAGCAAAGGCAAAGAGGAGTTCCCTGCAGGTCCCTCCGACGGTCAATCTCAAAGATCGAGCAACTTCCATAAGACTCAATTTAGATCAAAATGCCACAGATGGTCTCGAAAGCATAAACAGAAATAGGTAAAGTCCACCAAACTTATGGAGGCAAGTCATTTCCTGTCACTATGGGGAGGGAGAAAAAAGGGTGGCAGTCAAAGGAGGCGAGAGCTCTAGCGGGTATGGATACTTGGAAACTAATCCAGAAGGAATGGGATGAGTTTTCCAAACGAATCCGGTTGCTTTGGCTCGTAGGTTTCCTCATCTTTTCAGGATTGCTGTGAAGATACATGCTATGGTTGTTGACTGTTATCGGCTTGATAATGAGAGGGTGACTTTGGATATGCACTTTCGCAGAGAGTTCCATTATTGGGAGCTAATGTTGGTCAAAGATTTCCCAGCCTTGATTTATAATCAGGTGGTAGAGGACAGGGTTATGGATGAGATAGTGTGGGAGGGAACCTTAAGAGGGGTGTTTGAGGTTAGATCTTTTTATGAGAGTCGATAGAGATCCTTGGCTCCAGTTTCCCTTGGAAAGCTATTAGGAGGACGAAAGCCCCTTTGAAGGTAGCTTTCTTCACTTGGCATGTTGCCCTTGGCAGTATCCTCACTCTTGACAATCTCAGAAGGAGACATCAGATTGTGGTGAACTGATGTTGCATGTGTAAGAAGTCGGGCTATCTTCTGCTTCACTACCTTGTCACAAGGGATGTTTGGGCTATGTTCTTGGTTGCTTTTGGTTTGACTTGGGATTTTCCACTTGGAAAAGGTGTATAGTGGAGAGCCGAGTGAGAGATGCTTGGAGAGCCACCCCCCATTGTTATGGTGGGGTTTGTGGCGCAAGAGAAAAAGGAGACCTTTTGATGGGGAGGAGTCTCATACTTGGTCTCTCAAATACAACATATTGTCTTCTTTATTCTGTGGGGTTAACGGGTGGAATTGTAAATCCATGCATCTTCTTTTGGATAGTTTAAAATTGCAGTGTCGCGCCGTAGGCAGCTTTTGTATTCCTTTGGGAGCGTTCACCTTTAATGAATTCTTATTATCGAAAAAAAAAAAAATCATTTAACAAATCAATTAGCATCTATTCTATCTGTATAACTGAGTTAAACAGGAGCTTTGTCTACATATAAAAGTTTGTTATGAAATGGTCGCCTAGCTGTAGTCGCATATCAGCTGCGCCCAATATGCAGGACTTCTGTTGGATCAGATCATGTGCTTGTACAGAAGCTTTTGGACCTAATGAAAAGATCAAATCACAAACATTGCCAATAATGTTGCCACCAACCCTACTGCCAAAACACAACTGCCATAGCCACCATCCCCTTGACCAGATAAATACTTGTATTACATGAACTCTCCCATATGACATGACGTCACCAAGAGTATGAGATCAGTGTGTGACATCAACTGAAATTGGACATCTGATCCTTCGCATCTAATGATTGAAGAAGAAGCAAAAACTCAATTTGATGTCAGAGAAGAGTTTCCTATTTATGAGATGAATAGAGACCGCTTTTTATCACGTCATGAAACTTAAATAATAATGATTATATTCTCACTCAACAACAACAATCATTACACTTGTTATATCAATCATTACACTTTTTATATGACAATCAATCTGTTTAAATGATTAATGCATGTCTATGTAACCATGTGCAACTTCCCATACAATGTGTTAAAGTGATTAATACATGTCGATGTATCCGAGTCCATATAAAATAGAACATCACTATTTATGTCACCATCCATCTGACATATTTTGTTGTAATTACTAAAACACCACTATTTCATTTTTTTCTTCTTTATTGATTTGACTAGGCTAGTTTCAAACCAAACATCTATTTCCAAACTTACTCCATACTTTTACAACATATTCCAAGACCAAGGCACGTCATGCCTTTGTTAAAGCCACCTACATCACCATCTCAACCATCACCATCAAATTGTCATTAACAACATTTCTTCCATCCTGACCACCACTGGCACTGGCACTGGCACTGGCACCACCACCATTGATAAGGCTCATCCATCCATCACCATCACCGCTTCTACATCTCGTCCCAACTTGTCATTAGACTATTAACTAACTCTTAATCAAAACTATCTAAAATTTGGAGCAAATCACAACAGGAAGATTTACATGTCAAAACGACCATTGGAACACATAAATAGCTATTATTATAGGATTTATGATTCCGTAAACCCAATGCGCAAACTCTAAATGCCTAAAGCAAATACACAAAATACCTCTAAACTAGAGCTAGGAAAATAATAGGCTAGCATCTCTGGAAAGCTGGATTGAATCAGATGTCAACCTGAGCAACGGCTGAAGAATGGATCAACTACCAATGGTCCAAGGCAACCAAGTTTATCAACTCCTACTCAGTTTGGTAAGTTTACACTATTTCAGGATTTAATTGTCTTGTTATATATAAAAAGATGGCAAACCTTCACAAATTCAGGGACCCAGTACGTTTGTTTGTTGTTTTCTAGCAGTTCATCTTTCAACTTCTCCACTGCAACAAACCTACATAGATAAAATAAAAATGCACCTCAATAAGAGTGAAACTACTAAACAAACCAAGGAAAATATACATTGGCAACCAACAATAAAAGCACCACTAAGTTACTAATAGCATCAGAATAAACATGCAGGGAAAAATAAATAACTAAACAACTATGTAAAAAAAGAATAATAGACAAAAACAAAAACTTAACAAGTGAAGGACAGTACTGCTGGTCTGCAACCACTTCTAGCACATTAGCAGCAAACAAAGATTGCAAGCATTACAAAACATACATAACACACCACTAAGAAACTAATGGGAGAATAAAATTCACTTCCAAGTTATTAAGTCTTCTCTTTGCCAAAGCTTCCTCAAATATATTATGTTACTTTTAAGAAACGCGAAAGAAAAAAATTAAAAAATTAAAAATTAAAAAAATTAAAAAAAGACCCTCAAGGATTCATGACCTTTGCCAAGAAAAAAAAACCCACCACTTGTATACTTCAGCAACATCAGTAGAAGTGGGAAGATCTAGTTAAGCCAAATCAGGTCAATCAGAAACAATGGAGATGATTAAGAAACAAATTAATAAGCGGTTTTAAGTTTCAAAAGAAATACGTGAAAAATAGCAAAAGAATAGACAAGCAAAACAGATAATGTAAAGAAATTTTCAAAAGTAGCCCTATAAAGAATGGGTCAAAATATTGCAGCAATCAATTTCATAGGGAGAAAAGGAGGTGACCACTTAGATCACCTCCTTAAATATATAAATATATATAATTTCGCCGACCTTCATAGATCAGACTTACAGAAATAGGGGTATGAAAATTAAAACCAACTAATCATCATATCTTTGGCCAGGTATCCTACAAATTTTTAAATTTTGAAAAGTTCTTGCATTTATGATAAATACAATGTTATCACATGGGTCATTTTACTCAGGCTTACTTTACGTTGTGCCTTTGACATTAGACCATGGGGGACCCTGTCACCTTAGCACTCCTTGAGCTTTACCCACAATTCCCACCCCTCTGCAAAGCAACTTTTACTATAAAGGCAGGAGTCTCAAAGTTCCTAATGAAAAAACAAATAGATACTGAAAACTATTATCCTTGGAAAATCATAGAATTCTCGTAAGGAACAACAAAAACCTAAATAACGACATCCCTCAAGTCAACCATCAAATCCTACATATTGAGGTTGCACCGTGAATGCTGAACCCTCATCAAAACCTCCACAAACATCTCCATTATCATCAACAAACTAATATTATGTATACAAAAAGACGACAAAAATCACCAACCATACCTTTTTCACTTCACAATTCAAACCACTGCTACTGTTGGCCACTTTCTGTGAAAAATATCCTACCAAACTAATAGAGAAAAAGTCCTTTTAAGATCTTCAACTCTAAATAAAAAGTACTAAACATGTCCCTCTAGTATATAATTGAAAAATCCACCACAACCAACTTCCATTTTTGCAATCATGAAAAATGTCCATAAGAATGTTGCAGTCATTCAACCAAATGAATGGTTGATCAAATCTCTGCAAGCCCATTGTCAATAAATTAATTGCACATTTCGATTACAAGTGTATCACTGTCATACTTTCATTTAATATTTATTAAACATTCAGTTGCAACCCTGTTGATTTTTTATTGTTTTCATAAACTTCCCCAAACCTCAAAATATGCCACTCAATTGAATTTTCTTGTGTGCTTGGTTAAACATAATATCTTTAAGAAAACACTATAATCTTGCCAGATAGCATCAAGAAGAAAAATCAAACTACTTTTGGGTTGGTCCCATTATGTGGACAAAACCATCCTCACTGTTCCATTTTTACAAGTGATTTCAGTACTCTCTTATTCAATTTTAATAGTTCTCCATCAATCTAAAGAATTGAGTTGCTCACAGCTAAATCATCATATCAAAAGTTTAATGTTTTCACCTAGTGTAAAGAACCAGTTAATCATTCCTGTTCCTATCAGCTCAAGATCACGGGCATCAAAACATAATTTGAAGAAGTTAAGAAGGCAAGAACTATAAAATCCAGTGTCTGCTCAATACAGCCATTCACAATTAAAACTAGGTGAAAAATGTAAATTCAACGACCTACCTTCTTGTGAGCACACTATAATTAAAGTTTGCGACAAGAGCAACTTAGAACTTGTCTCCTCAATCCACTCAAGACATTAGGTTCCTAGGAAATGGGTAAAAGTTGGGAATTCTATAACCAAAAGAACATGTTTACGAATTCGTCAAGTTTATATGTGTTACAGCGAATCTATACAAAATTTTGGTCCTAACTACAACCACAGTAATAAAAAAATAATAATACAATTAAACCAAAGATCCAAGTGACATTTGGCATGGATATAAAGGAACTCAAAGTTCAAACATTAAGGAAAGAGAACATGTTCGTTTCCTATAATTTTTAGTTTAATACAATTGAGTTCAAACGGAAAAAGGAAAAGAAAAAAGCAAGAACAGTGTCAGTGTAGTGACAACTCAGGTGAAAAACATATAATTTAGGAAAGATGCGCACCAGCTAGGAACTGCCCTATAAATAAGAGGAGTATCCGATCTCGGACAAAAAGGATAAGGATGGGTAAAGCTTCCAGACTTGACGAGCCTGCCTTTATCCTGTGCAAAAACAAATTATTTTACACAGAGAAGATTGTAACCATACAAACAAAACTGATGGGGAAATTACAACATGTGTATGTAAATTCTCATTGAAAGGAAATATATATAATGTAACAACAACAACATCAATCGTATATTAATAACAAATTGTATTACAGAATCTACTGCGTGATAGACATGACAGTTGTTGTAAATCGTTACAAAGAGATCTGTTCAACATTATTTCAAATAAGCTATGCATAAAAATCCGAACACTTAGATATCAAGTGCCTCTATAAACAATTTTGGAAACATAAAAGATCTATTACTCAAATAAAATTGAAAAGGTTGTAATCATTCTTGCCTTCACCGCTTGAATAATATCTTTATCTGCTTCCTTGATATAGCGCCTACTGAAGTCAGTGATTTTTTCAGTAAAGAGGCCATCATCATCAACTGCTACGATAAGGTTCTCTCCCTACACCAATCAAAAACAAACTCAGATAAAACAGGGCAGACAGACAGATAAAAATACCAACTTCTGACAGATGGAAGTAAAAATAAGAGCATTCTGACAAACAACCATAAAATAATACATATAGTTGATGCAAGAAAAACCAAGAATAAAAACAAAATGACTCAATGATACTCCAACTGGACAACAATGAGCATATACTCAGACAGGAATAACATAGTAAAAGGCGAGAAAGGGAACGAGACACCAGTTTGGAGGTTAAAATAGCTAGGAAGAAAACAAGTTAATAGAGATTATGAATATCATTATATAATCACCGAACTTCATAAGTAAAAAATTATACATATCTTTGAAACTAAAATACAGCATTCATATCACCCTAGTATATAAATTGCCTCATATCCAGCCGTTACTAGAGGGTGGGTCCTTGGTGCAATTGTAAGGTTCCTCTACTGTGACGAGAAGGTCATGGGTTCTGAACAAAAAACAGAATCTCCGCAGGCAGAGGTAAGCTAACCCTCTGCAGACACCACAATGGTGGGAGCCTCATACACTGAGCTAGCCATTTTATATCCAGCCATTTTTAGGTAAAACGATAAGCACATGAAAGACATAGACCCCCATAAAAATGCTACAATTTGTTAAGAGTAGCAAAATCTGGATTAATTGCTGAACTAAGTTCAGTGACATAAGAAGTAGGCTTGTCCTGTTACCAACTTGAGTCTTGGTCAAGATCAAGGAAAAAATCTTATGACCTACAATGAAGAAATGTAATTCAGTAGCAAAGGAAGAAAAAAAAAAACTCAATGGGTGGGTCCATCTTTTCCATATTGACTTTTCCGTCACATAAAAAAAATCCCAATAGAAGCCTTCCAATCCTTCATCAGTAACAAAGAAGATAAGAATGTTGGAGAATAACAGCTCTGAAAACCAAAAAAATAATATGCAATGGAGGAGCCAACCTCACAACAACTGCCCTCGCCCATTTTTTAATCAACTCCATTCTGAGAGGACGGGGAACCAGAAACAACAGAAATAAAATAAAAATAATGACTCAACTTAAGACTAATCTAATTTTTTGATAAGTCAAGTCTAATCTAATTTCATGCCTGTCACTCACCCAATTCTCCCTAAATCGTGTCCTATTCCTATACTCAGCCAGCATTTTTTGGGTAAATTATACTGACCTCTCCTTCAGCAAAAATACACACGCAATTAAAGTAGTAACCTGGCTGACAGTCTATGACATAATTAGCTGGCATCAGCAAGCAAAACAACACTGTATCTGTTTTTGCCCACATAATTAATGGGAAGACAAAACCAGCCTTTCTTTTTGGAACAAAATGACTTTGATGCCCTAAGTTAAAGAAGAGAAAACCCATGTGTTTACTCCTATGTTGCTCCACTGGCAGCAACATTGCTTAAAATATTCAGTCTTTTTTACGAGATGGAAGAGCGCACACACAGAGTGGGGGAAGGAGAGAATCCCCGGTTTGGATCACACTACAGTGGCTGCCTACGAGATTCCCGGGGAGGCGTGGTTTGGCGCTGATTTTACAGTTGCCGAATCTAGAGAACGGCAACGTGTGATCTTTTAATATTATTTCACGCATGCTTTCCTTTTTTATTTTATATTTGACTTGCCTATATAAAGGCAAGATATTGAAGTCTGCAGAGATCATTTTTTTTTATAAGTAAGAATAATTTTATAAAAGCGCTCAAAAGGGGAGTGAAACCCTGAAAATATACACAAGGCCACAAAGGACCTTTAGGCCTTCAAAGAAGCCAAAAAATCGACAATTTCATCTAAAGATCTATGATCTCTCCCATAAACCTAACAAAAAAGGGTAGAAATAATAGAGAATTTAAGAGTAGAAATCGACAACTCCTTCCCATCAAAATATCTTCTATTCCTCTCGAGCCAAATACACCACCACCACACAAAGAGGCGTAGCCCTCCAAGCATCCACAATGTGAGCCCCCACATGGCAACCTCTCCAAGCCTCAATCAACCCTCTAACGGATCCAGGCATAACCCAAAGAATCCCGAACAAGCCAAACATCAAATTCCAGCAGTCTCTAACCATGTTGCAATGGAGGAGAAGGTGATCCACAGATTCCTCATCCCGACGACACATATAGCAGCGATTGACCACCACCTGAATTCTCCTTCTCAAATTATCCTGGGTTAAAATCCGTCCCAGAACAGAGGTCCAAGCAAAAAAAACCCACCTAGAGAGGAGCCTTAGATCGCCAAACAGCCTTCCAAGGGAAGCAAGCCCTATGATCATCCGTGAGGCATCTGAAAAAGGATCTAACCTCAAAGCGCCCATGAGAGGTGGCAGCCCAGGACCAACAATCAGAAATCTCATCCACAATCCTCTGGCGATACAACAACTCCAGAAAACGAATGGCCTCCTCAATCTCCCAATCCTGAAACAACCGCCTGAATCGAACATCCCAAACCAGTGACCCACTGTCAAGATGATAGCAGTTAACCACCATGGCCTGCCTATCCATAGCAATCCTGAAAAGATGAGGAAAAGAGGTGGCGAGTGGAGATTCCCCACACCAAACATCCTCCCAAAAGCTGATCCTCGCGCCATCCCTGATTCGAAAGCGAACGTGTTTGTAAAACTCATCCCAACCCTTCCGAATGACTTTCCAAACCCCCACACCTCGAGGGCCACGCACCTCCAAAGAACACCACCCTCCTCTAGACTCCCCAAAACGACAAGCAACGACCCTCCTCCAAAGCCAATGCCTCTTCACACCAAATCTCCACAACCATTTCCCAAGGAGAGCCTTATTAAAAGGCACCAGTCTTCTAAGACCAAACCTCCGTAACGAATTGGCCTGCACACCTGATCCCAACAAACCAGATGGAACTTAAACTCTTCTTCCCCCCCCCCAAAAAAAAGAAAATTACGCTGCAATCTCTCAATCCTCTCCGCAACTGAAGAGGGATCCTGAAACAGAGAGATAAAATAAGTAGGAAGGCAAGAAAGGGTGCTCTTAATCAAAGTGACCCTACCTCCCTTGGAGAGATACTGCTTCTTCCAACCCGCCAACCTCTTCTCAAACCTATCCACCACAAGGTCCCAAACCCCAACACATCTAGACGAGGCCCCCAAAGGCATCCCTAAGTAAGAGATGGGAAAGGAACCAGTACGACAGCCAAGAATATCAATCAAAAACCCAATCTCAGGGACCTCTCCCACCAGCACCAAAACGCTTTTGCCCACATTTACCTTAAGGCAACTTGGAACCAAATCAGGACACACCTCAAATCTCTAAGCTGGGACACATTCGCATCACAAAGAACCAAAGTGTCATCGGCAAACATTAAATGGGAGACCTCCAACTGGGGAGCAGCATCCCTGCCCACTTAAAAGCCTCTCAGAAACCCTAACTCAATAGCCTTACTCATCAATCTGCTGAGGGCCTCCATCACAAACAGGAACAAGAAAAGGGAAAGCGGATCCCCTTGTCTTAAACCCCTCGAGCTAGAGAAAAAACCGGTAAGAGCACCATTCACAAGAATCGAGAAGCGAGCACTGGAAATACAAAAATAAATCCATCTCCTCCACCGATCACCAAACCCCATCCTCTCCATCAGGTAAAGAAGGAAGTTCCAATTCACATGGTCGTAAGCCTTCTCCAGGTTAAGCTTACACAAAACTCCCGGGACCCCACTGCGTAATCGGGAGTCCACACATTCACTAGCAATAAGAACTGAGTCCAAAATCTGACGACCTCCCACAGAAGCATTCTGAGAATCAGAAATGACACCATCCAGGACTTTCCGCAACCTAGAAGCAAGAACCTTGGCAATCAACTTGTAGAAACACCCCACCAAGCTAATAGGGTGAAAATCCCTAATATCCATCGCCCCTCCTTTCTTCGGAATGAGAGAAATGAAAGTGGCATTCAAACTCTTCTCAAACGAACCCTGAGCATGGAAAGCATGAAATGAACCCATCACCTCCCCTCTAACCACCTCCCAGCACTCTAAAAGAAATCTCATGGTGAAACCGTCGAGACCTGGGGCTTTATCCCCGTTACAACTCTTCAAAGCAAAAAGAACTTCCTCTTCAGAGAAAGGTTCCTCAAGACCCGAGCACTCCTCACTAGAAATAGAGGCAAACTGAAGCCCCTCAAGCAAAGGTCTCCACTCAACAGTCTCAGTGAACAACTTCTCGTAGAACTCTGAGATGCCCTTGCAAATATCCTCCTCCTTGCATAGAAGCTCCCCTTCCACCTGAATCCTCCCAATATGGTTGCCCCTTTTATGAGCATTGGCCAATCTGTGAAAAAATTTCGTGTTACTATCCCCCTCCTTGAGCCACAAAGCTCTAAACTTTTGTCTCCACGAGATCTCCTCCATGATCGCAATCTCAACAAACTCCGCCTTACACTCCGCCCTCCTAACTTTCAAAGCGTCAGCCAAATCCCCTTGACCCTCCATCCTATCAATATCAGCGATCTCAGCCAGAACCCGATTTTTCCTCCACACAAGATTCCCAAAGACTTCTTCGTTCCAAATCTTGATACTTCCCTTCAAACGACGCAAATGATCTGCCAGCAAATGACTTGGGGTGCCAATCACCCCTACCGCCCACCAAGATCAGACCCTTTCCAGAAAACCCTCATCCCGAAGCCACATATTCTTAAAACGAAATGGAGAGCGTCTACTCCGCAACCTGCCACAATCCAGCATCAACGGGACATGGTCAGAGATAGGACGGGCCAAAGTAGCTTGCCCGGCATCAGAAAACTTCTCCTCCCACTCCCCGGACACAAGGAACCTGTCAAGCCGAGAGAGAGTAGGGGGAAAGCGTCCACTAGACCAGGTAAAAGGCCCACCCTCCAGAGGCAGATCAATCAATCTAAACTCATCAATGAAATCTGAGAAAACCTCCATATCAGAAGTCCATCTACCCCCCGTCGATCTCTCGAAAGGAGATTGAACAATATTGAAATCCCCTCCAACACACCAGGGA